GTGGAAAGACCTTTGGTCAAAGAGGTCCTCTTATTTCCCATAAGATGGTCCACACAGGGGAGAAACCGTATAAATGCACGGAGTGTGGAAAGACGTTTACTCATGACAGTGGAGTTAGAAGCCACAAAAAGATCCACACAGGGGAGAAACCATATAAATGCATGGAGTGTGGAAAGACGTTTGCTCGAAGAGATCATCTTATTTCTCATAAGATGATCCACACAGGGGAGAAGCCGTATAAATGCATGGAGTGTGGAAAGACCTTTGCTCGTGACAAGAATCTTAAAAGGCACAACAAGATCCACACAGGAGAGAAACCATTTAAATGCACGGAATGTGGAAAGTCCTTTGCTCATAGATATAAACTTATTTCCCATAAGATGATCCACACAGGGGAGAAGCCATTTAAATGCATGGAGTGTGGAAAGTCCTTTGCTCATAGAAATAAACTTATTTCCCATAAGATGATCCACACAGGGGAGAAACCATTTAAATGCCTGGAGCGTGGAAAGTCCTTTACTCAAAGAGGTAATCTTATTTCCCATAAGATGATCCACACAGGGGAGAAACCATATAAATGCATGGAGTGTGGAAAGATGTTTGCTCAAAGAGGTAATCTTATTTCCCATAAGATGAACCACACAGGGGAGAAACCATTTAAATGCATGGAGTATGGAAAAACCTTTGCTCGAAGAGATCAGTTTATTTTCCATAAGATGATCCACATTGGGGAGAAGCCATATAAATGCATGGAGTGTGGAAAGACATTTACTCATGGCAGTGGACTTAGAAGCCACAAAAAGATCCACACAGGAGAGAAACCATATAAATGCATGGAGTGTGGAAAGACTTTTGCTCAAAGAGGTCATCTTATTTCTCATAAAATGATCCACACAGGGGAGAAGCCATATAAATGCATGGAGTGTGGAAAGACCTTTACTTGCAACAGTAATCTTAAAAGGCACAAAAAGATCCACACAGGAGAGAAACCATTTAAAAGCACAGAATGTGGATAGTCCTTTGCTCATAGATATAAACTTATTTCCCATAAGATGATCCACATGAAAGAAGACAAATGTATCAAATTTGGAAAGGCCTTTGCTCAGATGAAATGTTATTTCCCATTAAAAATTAGGTGAAGAGGGACTTCCGGTTTGTCGGCTTCGCGAGCGGCAGGGATTTGC